ACGGACCAGCTTGGAAAGTCATCTTAGATGAACTTAACATACCACCCACTGTATCAATCACCCACTGTCCATGTACTCTAAAGAACGTGAAAGGTGTGCAGGGTGACACACGGACCGGAGGGGATCCGGGTAGCTAACCTCTGACACATCCCAGGGTTGTGACCTCGTCCAAGAATCACTAACCCCATCTCGTGATAGACCATCAGAAGGGTTGCTCTCAGAGTCAATCCATTCGATCCAAACACGAATTTGAAATCTTTGGAACAAGAAATGCGCGACCTGGACGAGCGTATGGACATCGATCTGGGAGCTGGATCCTCGAATGAGGGAAGCAACAGCTGCTTCATTATCGATGAACCATAGGAGATCCTGGTGGTGTAAGGTTGCTCCATGAAACCATGGTACCAAGAGCCCACACAGTGTCTCACCAGGGTAAATTTGTTGTGTACGGTCGGTCCAGGACTCAATCACCTCTCGCGGGACGACACATGTCAGTCCCTGGGGGCGAGACGACTGACCGAAGACAACCCAGCCGACGCGGAGGACCCCATGCTCAAAGGACGCATCCGAGTACACAAGGACTGGTTGGGGAGGGAGAGCCCGCACAGCTACATCTCGAGGCCCTGGGCAGGTCACCAACGCTGCTAAGAGCTGAAAGGTAACGGACTCCTCAGGGGAGAGAGTAGGGGAGTCAGCATGCTGCAACGCAGTGAGTGTGGGTCCAGCGATCCGACCTGCCTGACCGGCACACATGCTAAACATCCAGTTGAGGTCCCCTCTGAGCTTTCCAGCGTCGTCCGGCGACAGACTGTTGGTAGCCAGCGCCAAGTGAATTTTAGCTAAAACCTTCCTCTGAGTGGTGAACTTGGGTTGGAATCTGATCGCTCCCATAGACGCAAAGTCGCCAACATGTACTGAAGTACCAAGGTAATGACGGTTACGTCCAGGTGCGAAAGATTTGGATGCTTGCGGTGGTGCTCCCATGAGTTGGAACACAAGTTGGAGTCCGCGCTGCGAGACATCCGCATGGTGAACAAAATCAACCGCAAGTTCATCATCAAAGTATGCAGCACAAAAAGAGAGGGTACAGCGTCTTGCAATCGCGATACCCAACTGGGGGAACCGGTTGAAGCTCACCACCGCACTCTCTAACCCGTAGGCGAGTCCATACATGGTGGTAAACCGCCAGCCTTCGTCGGGGACGAAAATGGCCACATTGGAAAACCGCAAATGGTCATCTTGGACCGGCAGGCCTCGATAGGCATCGGGCAGGTCATCCGTGCCCAACCGTAAATCAAGCCAATCAGGAGGGTCGGACCGATGGGTCTCCAAAACGGTATTAACCATGCGCGCTACGGATGCAACAAAGTCAACATTAACGGTCGAAATGGTTTCTTGCATGGATGTATGACGGTTGTGGCCACTCTTTCGGGCATTATCAATGACCCTTTGTTTACCATCAGGTTGAATAATAAGGAAACGTTCCACAGCGCGCCAACCACCCACACCAAATAGATCGTTCATCTCCTGCGTGGTTCGTAGTGGGCTGCAAAAACCCTTGAGGATCTCATCCTGAGTAACTGCCAAAATTTCTGGAGCATGCAGGGGGGGTCGACTACGGATCAACCGCTGGACTTCCTCTTCAGCTGATGGACCCAGCCAATCAGCCAAAGGGAGTTTGTCCGCTTGTTGAATACCTCGGAACACCCCGGACGGCGGAAGGGACCCAACAATAGCGAACCCCTGGACAAGTTGGCGGGCCATATCACGGTCCGGCCATCGCAGAAGGCATGCCATGGTTGCAACAAAAGCAGGCTGTTTAGTATGCGCTACTTTGTTGGAACTAGTAGACCTTACGGCCGCAAGACACGGGTTCAGGAGTTGCACAGCTTTTTCCACAGCCTTCAAAGTGCGCCTCAGCCTTTGGCTGTACACTGGGAGAAACTGCTGCCAGACACCCAGTGCCTGGACCACACAGGATACATCAGGTTCAGGCCAGTCAGACGGATGGAAAGGTGACGGGAGTTGCCTGGCCTGTGCCACATGTTCATCCTTGCCCAACCCCGGGGGCAAGAGATGGTCCAAGCCCTTGGCCGAGGAGCTTGGGTAGCGTTGGCCAGTAAGCCCAGCGAAGATAGCTGTTCGCATGCGCCCCCAAATGGGGACCGGTCCCAGCACTTCCCACGGTTCTTGCCGAAGCCGCCTCCACATAGGATACGCTTGCAGACTCGCCAGGTCACAGGCCTGCAACCGAGCAAGGACCTGGTGCCAAGTACTGTCTGGTATGTCCGCAAACGCGAATTGGATCCGCAGATCGAGGCATACCTCGGTAGCGGTCAACAGACCGGGCATAGCGTCCAGGCGCCCTGGTTCCCAGACCGTGTGCTGCAACCTATCCCTCAATGCTGCTTCTTCCGCGGAGGTGAACGAAGGTACAAATTTGGCCTCCAAAATAATAGGTAGCATAGCCATGAGCGCCACCACACAAGGAATATGGAAGCCATTACCAATGAATGAGTTCTGTGCCTGGGTGCGCTTGACCTGATTTCCCCGAGCAGGAGCTACCAGTGCTGGCGGCAAGCACATCATCTGGCAGCGCTCAGCAGGAGATGGTTGGCGCCATTGCTTCCCGTGCCACAAAAGTGAGTGCTCTTCATAGGCCCCCGGAGGGAAACGGCGCTGGTCAGCATAGAAACGTTCGGCTGCTGCAGGACTAACCTCGGGGACCCGGTCCTCCGGATGGTAAAATTCCCGAGTGAATGTGTGCATCGCGCCCTTGCCAGCCTGCTGTAACACTGCCTGAGGGGAGAGCAGAGGTAGGAAATGGTCGTCCCAAAACACTTGCGGTGGCAGGGGCTTCTTTCCCGCATACCGCAGTTCCGCCACTCCAGATGTAGTTGTGCACCATTGCCACGACTCCGGAGGTGGGTTGGCCGGACTGACCACGCCTCGCCGGGAGCGGAGCCAGAAAAACCGTCGACGCGACACCCATCCACAGGAACCTCCGTCCAGTAGGATGGGGGGCCCCGCCAACCAGTTCTCATAGGCCTGTTGGACCTGCTTGGGCATACTGGCCACATTCTCAAGGAAAGCGACAATCTCCATGCCCTGACAAGCTGGGAGCTGTTCAAACTCTGATACAAGCCGCCGAAGTTCAAGCGGTTGTTGAGATCGTGTGTCATCAAGTCCCTTGCGGCGCCTGTTCAAGGCTGAATTGCCCTGGCACGGGGAGCCCCCGCCCAGGAGGACCCCCCGAAAAGCTCGGCGGACCAGCATAGGGATGAAATCCACGGCACGTAGGTCCTCCACCCGGGTGACAGGAACAACGTGGGGCATGACCACTTGAGTACAATGGGCGGCCTCATCATCCATCTCAGCAGCCACTGCATAGAAGTGAACTCCCATAGCCAGCAAAGCGACCAAAAGCCCGCCAATACCTGACCAAAGGTCCACAACCAGCCAAGTACCCTTGAAGGGCTTTGCCCAGGGAAACTGCGGCAAATCCCCTTGGCCCCTCCAAGTGACAGGCTTCGCTGCATACAGGCGGTCAGCCATAGTCACATGGCCAGAGTGACCATCAGGTCGCAGGATCACACGGCGGTGGGCCTCAGAAGATGTCGAACTGGCCGGAAGCTGCACACGCAAGGCCACCTCATCTGGGCCCCCCCGGGGTTCCCCGACCCTCGGGGGGCGTTGTCCCTATTCATGCTGGAGCCGGGTGTGACTGGCCAGGCAGGCTTTCCCGGAGCTCAACTTGACATCACACTGATGAAGGTCCTTGCAGCCCGCCTTGGTACAGCCACGCCCGTCATTGAAAGGCTTGCAAATCTTCTGACCCCCTTTCAACATAGAGATAGTAGGCCATTTGTCCGTCTTGACCAGGCGCCTCTCCTTTGCTGGGCCTTTCTCTTGCGGCTGATCATTCTCCGCCAAGCGGCGCTTCGGGGAGGCACCTGCCTCAGGCAAGGTGGGCTGAACTCCCGGGGCGCGCCAGTCAATATGGGTCTGGCGCAAGGCCTCCTCCAAGGCGGACGCACCTGTGTAGCCACGGCGGATGAGGGAAGCCATCTTGGAGCGTGTGTTGATATCATTGCGCTCCAGCCAAATCAGGCTACCCTGCCCGAACTCCAGGGCTTGATCCGCATAAGACATCGCTGGGGCCAGGGGCATGAAGACTTTCTCATTGCCATCGAAGTCAGATACCTTGTACAAACCTCCCCACGCCCAGGCATAAGCCAAAGTACGTAGGGAGAAATAGTACTCCACCACGGTTCGCACAATACGATGATCGTCGGCTGCAAACTCAAGCTGGACGCCCGCGCCCAGGCGGACTGATTCCTGTTGCTTGGGCGCCGACTGGTGGAGGATGGATCGGACCTTGGCCACACTGATGACTGACATTGTCCTTTTGCGGAATTCCCTGTAAATACGGGACCGAAGGGCGTCGGATGGTTCCAAGAACGCATCCAACACCACACCGTATTTGGTGGCAAAGTCCTTGTGAAGTTGTTGCATGGTGGATTCTGGGAGTGTCTCATCCACAGCTTCCGGCTGCTTTGCCTCCGCAGCGGCTGCGCGAATGGCCTCAAGGCCGGCTGCGTGGGCCGCTTTCAGCCTGGCTCGCAACAACCGGTTGTCTTTCATCTTGGTCGGCTGGAGGACTTGATCCAATGACGTTTCCATGGCGGTCTCGTTGAAGTAGTAGACAAAATCTTCCAACGTTTCCCACTTGTGGGCATGAACCAACTCACTCTTCCACTCCTCCAGGATGTTGGCTCCAGCGAAGCATGTCGTCAGTCCCCTGTCATCCTGATAGGTATCGATGCGCCTCGAACCGCTCATGGCCGTAGGGGTACCACAATCGAATCGCGTGAGTACTCTAGCTACGACCCTCTGAGCCCTGAGCTGGGTTGCGACGTAGCGAACACCACAGGTGGAGGTCC